AAGTTCATAAGAGAGGAGCATGTTTGCTAATAATTTCTTTGATATCTAATACTTCTACAATACACTTTGACACACAACGACTGCAAAAAACACATAGGCAAGGGTGGTGACCGCCCTTTTCATTCCACAATGATACCCGCGGTGCTCAGACCGATAGATTCGGGCAATCGAAAGCCACAACCAAATTGATCACGACAGTTGCTTCTACACGCACCGGATTCAAATCAGTGAAAGGGAAATATTTCGTAAATAGAACGGATTGATTTAATCGAAGGCCGTTCAATCTCGCCAATCGGAGAGAGTTCAAATCGTGAAGAGATAAATAAAAAAAAAAAATCCATACGTAACTACCTTACTAAAAATGAAGGGCATAAATTTCAAAATACAAACCAATGAACCTTTATATATTGTGAGAAAATGAGAGAAGACCTCAAAACATTTGATTATGAAATCATTACAACAACAAAATAACAGTATATGTAACTGCAGAATCCTTGTAATTAGAGCAATTGGTCAACACGTTAAAAAGATCCTCATATTATAAGAGTAACCATGTCAAGTAGTTCTAAATTCTTAAAACTGAGAATTCCGCAAGATCATATGTGATGCTGCATACTCCTTTTCTGACCTCTTAATATAATTAAAACATTGGATTTGCGAAAATTGAACATTTATACAACGTGCAAGACAACCGCACCCATACAAAACCGCTGGGCCACAAAGTAATCAGAGACCCACATCAGAAGGACACAGCACTCCGACGAGGGTAGGGCCAACTCGAACTCGATCTTTCGATTTTGCAGAGGCGAGAACGATCGCTCGAAATGGAAGTGGTTTACCGCAACCGCCAACGAGTTCTCGGAATAACGAATAATCTCTCTCCTTACTGGGTCAACGTGGACCGCCAGGCGGCAAATCCCATTAGCGGTCTATTTGCAGCTCGGCTCTAAAGGACCGGTCTGGCCTCTCCCTCACCCCAACACTTAACTTTTCGTTGTACTTCCCCGCTCCGTTAATCCGCCCCGAATGGACCTAACCTACTTAGAGAAGTTTCGGATCGACGTTAAAAGATAAAGGAACGTGGGGTTTAAAATGATGGGAGTAAAAAAAGGTTAAATTCCTAATTGGATTATAACTCTGTAGGTCAAGAAATATAGAATCATCAGTGAACATCTTATATACTGAATGCTGTATTTTTTTACCCACCTAACGCTTTTTTTGTATTATTTTCTTATTTTATTTCTTTAGTTTCATTCATTATCACGACTGAATATCACTAGCATTACAACTCTCAAGTCGTTGTCGACTTTCTGCATCAACTCACATTTCCTGTCTAGCTTAACTGATAGTATCTGATCTCAAGAGTGAAGATCGATAATAATTAATTTAAAATTATTTCAATTAGAGTGCTTTAAATTTTAAATACCCAACATTACTTCAGAATAAAGTACATGCGATTGTCAATTTGCGAAGTCAAGAAACAAAACCATCACTTTTTTTTGTGTGTAGGGGTTGTGCGATATTGTCTCCATTAACACAATAACCTATTAAAATTAATAATAATAATATTATTATTATTATTAATGATGATGAATAATGCCGACCAGATGGCCGAGATTGTTCAGGCAGTAGTGCTGTAGCGGTCTCAGACCAGAAGATCGCGGGTTAGACTCCCGTCTCGGGCATGGGTGTATTTGTGTTTGTCTATATGTGTGTACCGTTCTGACACCCCTCATAATCATCATCATTGAATCTTCCATTTCACCATGACTAACAACCAAGGAGAGTACCCCCCCCCCGCCTCGTGAACACTCTCAGGTAAAAAATATGACCGGACCTTTGTGGATATAACTGCACATTCGTGTGGCCTATTGAAAGGCCAATTCGCGACGAAAAAAATAAAAATGAAAATAATAATAATAATGAAAATAAGGGCATGTTTCACACATGAGACATACAAAATTTAATCGCTAGAGCTTTATGAAGAGGGTAAGGGATTGATTTCAAGTGGACCAATTTAGAGGAAATAAAAATACATCTAGGGAGAAAAAAAAACACCTCAAACGGATGTTAAACGAAAATGAACTTAGAATTAAAACATAAAGTACACTCAAGACACTTGGGAAGGGGAATAACTTTTCTACAAACATATCTATAAAATACTTATCCCTTCTAAAAGTCCAGAGACCAAATTTCAATGAACAGTTTTCAAAGTAATAACGTAATTCGACTAGAAACAAATAAATCTCTACAGCACAGAAAAAAAAGAAAAGAAAAGAAAGAAAGCCGCCCGCCGACCACCGGCGTCGGCAGGAAAGTTGCCGAGTCCGCCAAATGCCAGGCCCTCTCATCCCGCCATTACGGAGCGATTAGGGCTTGCAACAGTTGCGAGGGCTGCAAGGATGACGTCGCTCGGGCGGCGCCTTAACGGCACTTCATTCAGTTACGCGGCACGTGCCTTTCACTTCTCCCCGGGCGGCGGCGGACACGTGCGGATACACATCGCGCCATGACGTCACGACACGTGTGACGTCACACGTGACATCACCGCCGCAACCGGCGACTCGCGCAGGGCAATGTTCCCGAGAGCAGACACAACGCAAATTTTTTTTAAAAAAATTGCACACGACCGCACGGCGGCGGTGAGTCACGCTTTGCGTTTGGCCGTGACTTCTGGCGGCGCTGGCTTGCATCGGGGGGAGGCTCGGCGAGAAGATGGACACGTACGAAAACCAGTGACACACTAAAGGGGGTGATGAGGCTTCGTAAACAAATCTAAGAATGATGATTCGGAAGTCCGTGATGGAAATCCAAACAACTATCCTTTACAACGTCACATCCATGATGATCTCTTCCATTAAAGGCCACGATTGAACTCTATAGAAAGTCCGTTCTTTTTCAAAAAGTAATTTTCAAATCTATTTGAATCACAATTGTTCATTTATTTTACTGTTTCTAGAAACATACTACTATCTTAATTTTCTAGAAAAAAAATGAATAATTGACCGAATATTTATTCAATAAATCATATGTATGTACATCAAAATTACTATTTCTTTTGAATTCTAAAAACGCAATAAAACAATGCTGATTGATAGATGATTCCGAAAACGTCAACTGCAATGGTCATTATTGTAGTGAATGTTCTTCATGGCATATACCATAGCTAGTATCGAAAATCTGCCACCGGCTCAACTCTAACACTAGGACCTCCCGGTCAGATCCTCTGCGGAAACTGCGGCTCTGAGATTAACTTTCAGCCTTTTATTCACCCGTGAAAATCAGATTCTTTTACTCACATTATCCCCTCGCATGGTTCACATTTTTCAGTATAAAAATATAATTTCGTTATACTCTATTGTACCAAAATTACTATTTTAAATGCATACGCGTACTGTATCTTTACTTTCACAGTAACCTTTTGCCTTTTTTCAAACGTAAACTTAGAAAACCGATTCAAATGTCAGTAAAATCTTACAGGAATAATTAAAGATACAGTTATAAAGATAGCAATCCTTAAGAAATGGCTTTCAACTGTTAATAGGCATAAAGAATATCTCGAAAGAGAAAGGAATAATTAGAATCCAAAGGCGAACAAACAAAAGAACTTGTAAGTCGTGACAGCACACTACAAGTACGCATTTAGCAGATGCATGAAGCATGTTGTTTCATAGCGAGGGAAGTGAAAGCTGAAACTATCGATAGATTTGCGGAGCCAATTTTTAAGAGACAATAATCTCAGAATCACGTCATCAGGTCACGGACTCTACTCTCCATCTTAACGGGGCTAGTCTGAATAAATCTACCGGCATGCTTAATACAATCCCACAATCAGCAATCTTTCAGTACAATGAAATACACCCATAACTGTTATTACACGTAAATACAAGAAAATTGAGTAAATATTAAAGCCGTGTACTCAAAATACTCCCAAACGACTTATATTATTTAAAAGTTCCCTTGCGATTATAATATCAGCATTCACTGTCCCTACTTTATACTGCTATTTTTCCATAATTCAAGTTGCAATCACTTAACTATTATGAATGATATTTAAACGTATACAAAATCAAAAACGTGTAAACGTTTTTGAGTTCAAGTCCACGAGCACCGTTTTTAAAATAGGAGGTATAACGTCTGGAAACTACTACGGAAAGTATTCCAATGGCAAGGCACCAGGAGCCCCTGCCAAAAGACCTTGAGATACACCGCTCTACAGGCCTGCGGAATGAGTTGCCTAATTTCAGGGGCTTCCCGCGGAACGGAAGTGTCGATGGTGGAAAACTGAATGAATTAAAAGAACAAATTATTTCTGGTATTACGGAGATCACATTTACAAACATTCATGGATAAACCATCAAAAAAACAGAAAATATTGTTCTTCTACTATCAGTAATTGTTTATTTTCTTTGTTCAGAATGCAAATGCACAGAAAACTAAATAATTCGATTTAATGGTTTAACATTTCGGTCGTTAAAAATCAACGCACCAAATACCTCCGTAAAATAGCAAAATCAGCCATGAACAAAGAATTACCACACAAAACAAATAATAATAATAATAATAATAATAATAATAATAATAATAATAATAATAGTAATAACAACAACACAACTCATTCGTAAAAATAATTTTTAAAATGTAACATCGTTATTTTTTCCCCAAGATATTCGTGCCAAAGGACCATTTCCTCTTCCATAACACGCGCATTAAAACATGCCGCCTTTTCGAAACCGCCCGATAAAAGAGCAGCCGGTCTATCGGGTGACTGATGCAATTACTCCGGAACCCTTCAGTAATTGAGCGAAATTCCCTTAATGAATCGGCGTAACGCCGACTGGTTCCGCCGCTTTCCGCGCCAGGGGCCAACCACACCTCCCACCGCCCCCGCCGCGCCGGCCATTTAAATAACCGGCCTTCGTTCGCCGCCCCCGCGCTGCGCCCTGCCCGCGTTGTTTGTTTTTTTCTTTCTTCTTTTTTTCCGCGCCGCGATTAATTACCCTGCTCGACGCCACATCTCGCGCAGCTGCATGCCAGATCGTGGACAAGGAGTCCCCACAGAGCTTGCAACGAGGTGAACTGATCAGAAAAAAGGAAAGGAAACAAAAAATAGAAAAAAAGGAGATACAAAAATCAATAAAGATGTTAAATCGCTCGAGCAGATTTTTAACGCAACGATCTGCGTATGTCAAATATCGAAAGAAATATTTCATTTCATTTAGGAGCGGTGTCAAGCTCCTCGTGCCTGCTGCTGCTGAGCATAATAATGGGATCAGATACCAACGTATCTTAATCAAACATTCAACTAATATCCCCGAAACTTTTTTCGTCTCAAATTTGCATGCCGCTCTTGCACAGCGGTCCGTACACGCGCTATCTTTCCAGCACAAAGATAAATTACCCTGTTCCACGTCTCGCGCAACTGCACACGAAACTGTGGAGAAGCTGTCGCCGGGTAGCTTACGAAGAATTCATGTGGACAAATTAAAAACAAAAAAACAGAACAAAAGCACACACACACTCACACACAAACATCAGTAACCCTCTTTATTTGCTGGAAAATATTCCTTACGCCAACTTTTAAATGAAATGTTTAATATATTTTTATTGACGATCTTAATTTAATCGTTCATTTTACTGATAAAAGTTAAAGGTAGTTGAGGTTATTATCTATGGACATGTATTGTACTATTAAAAAATGATTTGCGAAACTGCTTTATTTTGCACTAAATAGAAATAGTGTTTAAACACAGAGTGTGAAAGATCAGCAAACGTCAACTATTTTTATGTCATTTAAACCCATTCTTGCTTAAATATTCTCTTCACACATAATACTTAAATAAAGAAAAGATGGAATAGAATTAAAATTATATTCGAACAGGTAGTATCCTTACATAATTAAAGACACTCTTTATAAAGCTTTTTCTTTTCAAAATCTCTTCATTTGCAAGAAATGAATTGTCGAGATTTTCCACGAACATTTTCAAGAAGTAAATTTCATTGAAAGTTTGTAATTTTGCTTCCTGTTTTAAAATTGTATTTAATACAAACATTCAAAACATGACTTATTTCTTAGCATTTAAATACTATTCATCCAAAAGGAAAGAAATATACTGAAATATTAAACCGAACATCGACTATTATTTATTGACATCGTGATATTATAAACAGCTCTCGAGGATACAAAAAATATACAATAATTTTTTTTTCAATTCACATTATATTAGAAAATGTCAAGGAGCAATGCATTAATTTATTTATTCACAATGCATTCGAAAAGGCTTTGGTTTTTTCTAAGCACGGATCCAATCGATCCTTGCATTCGCGGAGGTCGTAGAGAAATCGGAGTACATGATGAGCCGGTCAGGGCGGGCAGAGGGAGACTAAGGTGGGCCGGGAGGTTCGGGGAAGCGCAATGGCACGACGAAGGCGTGACGTGGCGGCGTGGTGGAATGTAGGCAGGCCAGGGAGGGGCGTGGCGGGTGAGAAGGGGCGTGAGGGAGCGGGGTGGGTCGCGGAGGAGCGAAGCGGGGCGGAGTGTGGCGAGGAGAAGCGAGGCGGAGCGGGGTAGAGCGAGGCGGAATGGAGTGTGGTGGGGTGAGGAGGGGCTGGGAGGAGTGGGGTGGGGCGAGGAGGGACGGGGCGGGACCAAGCGGAGTGGGAAGGGCGGAGCGGGGACCTAGTGTCGACATGGGACTGTAGGGACGGCGCGCTCTACCGGCCACGCAGCGAGTGCAGGGCGGAGCACGCTCTACTGACTGGTGGCTGCGCCCTCGCCGGACACGCGCGCGCTCTAGCGGCGGAGAAATGCGAATCCTGAGCCGCCGGCGCCGCTGCCGTCTCGGTGATTTACGAGCGCTGTCTGCGATTTTAATTAGCGTTCTATTGGCAACGGTCTCCATAAAACCTTCTTAGAGAGCCGCTCAATGAAGGCTGCCTCAAAGGTCGTCCGCAATCTTATTTACCTTTCAGCAACTAGGCTTCGGACGATGAATTCTGAAATTCGAAATTAGAATTCCCTAGGCACAAGGATAATTTCGATTGCGGTAGAAATTGAATATTCAAATAAAACACGCAAGGAAGTGAATTTAAAAAAAAAACTTAAAATCTATTTTTTAACTTGAATTCAATTTTTGAAATCATGTAGTGGCTTCTTTTCTGCAGAAAAAAAACTAATATCACGTATGCTTGTACGTAGTTTGATCAAGGTATATTGATTACACTACTCTTCAAATTCCTTTAGCCTTCGCGAAATAACCATTCAGCATGGAAATCACCCAGGGGGGCAAAGAAATGGTCTGAAAACTTCGAATTCTATAAACACATGTTCAAAACAAAGTGGGTCTCATTATCTGAAACAAATTTCCCCAATTTTTTCCGGTTTTCCAGAAAATTTTATTAATTTATTTTTTCGAAAAGATAAGTAAGTTCACACTACTTAACGAAAATGGTTTCTGATTCCACTTGGCCAGCTCTCTGAATTTACAAAGTAAAAATTAACAATGATTTCTCACCCAACAAAAACTGAGCAAAAAGGATTTGTTGTTGTAATGCTGTATTAATGTTCTTAAGGAATAACACTCTCGAAATTTTCCCTGTCTATGTTGCGATTCCCTGTGAATGTGAATGATGTGTTAAGTAGTGAGCGTGGGGGAACGCATAAGGTAATTTGAATTGAAACAAACTGTTCTTGACAGAGTACCGCGATTGCGAAAGACACGAACATCTGAAATCTCCTTCAACCCAACAGAACCCTCATGTCGTTTTATCAGAAGTTTTCTTTTTCTTTTCTTGGGAACGCAAGTCGATTACTCCAAGCAGGCGAGTCGTCCGTCGCGTCGTGTGTGGCATGGGCGCAAGGCCCTCCGTCCGCACCGCCGTCGCCGGTGCTGCCCTCTTGCGACAGCCCCGGCAACACGAGCCGCCTCCGGTCGCCGCTCCGGCCAGCGCTTATCGCCCAAACGGGGCGCGCGACTGCCACGGATGAGGATGAATGGGTAGGGGGCGGGGGAGGGGACGACCCGTGCGGTGAGCGGCAGCCGACACACGGGCGGGAGAGGAAGGCAAGATGGAGGCGGATGCGCCGAAAGAAATGGAGGAGGAGGGTGGAAGAGAGGAGGAGGGAAATGAGAGAGGAGGCCTGATGGTAGCGGAGTGGAAGCGGAGGCGAGAAGGCGGAACGGGGGTGGAACTGCAATGGCAGAAGGGGGGGGGGGCTGGGGCGGCGCAGGGCAGGTTGGAGAGAAGCAGTCGCAGGGAGAGGAAGAGGGTAGGATATAGATAGGAGGGAGAGGAGAGGAGGATAGAAGGGGGCGTGGGCAGAGACGGGGAAGCGAGGTATTGTCGAGGAGAAGTGGTGCGGTGGTGAGATGGTAGCGGGAAGTGTTATAGAGGCCTATAGAGTTGGCGGCGTGGAGAAGTAGTGGTGAGGCGAAATAGTGGCGGGAGCAAGAAGGCATTGAGATGAAGTGGCGTCACGAGCTGTGGCGGGGAGAACTAGTGGTGAGAGGAGATAGTTGTGAGGCGAGGTAGTCGCGGAGAGGAGTAACGGCGGGAAAGGACATTAGCGCGGATGCCTCATGGCGATGGGCGACGAAACGGAAAGGTGCAGTGGCGGGGACTATAGAGGCGGATAGGGATGATGGGGAGAGGCAGTTGCGGGGCGAAGAAGAGGCGTGGTCGCTCAGGGGAGAGGTTGGACAAGCGGACGTAGGCGCAGTGACGTGGGACACCGGCGACGGCGGCGGGC